TCCTAACCACATGTATTACTTTCATAATTACACCTTCTGCTTTAAGATAAAATGAGAGAGCTTAGCCTTATTTTAAATGTATAAGATAAACTTCTAAAATGAGGTTTATCTGTCTCTTTTATGATAATGTTTAGACCAAGGTATCTGATACACCACATAAAGAACATTGAGTGCTGTTAGTTTCTTGAAATGTTTTGTCAGTGAGAAATATTTGGATTTTGTAACTCAAATAAGTCTTTCCCATGAAACAACAAACATTTTTGAGAATGTAAGAGCAGTTCTTATGTGCATTACCTATCCCTTTACAAAGGACAAAAAACATTCATAAATTGAAGGATGTACTTTGATAACATCAACTGTTCAATTTTTGTGGCTTCTTGCTTAGTTTGACCACCCACTTTCGTTTTCAGTTATGAAATCAAACTATTAAAAGTGGCCCCACCATTAGCAGTAATTACAGAACAGATCTTCAATAATTTTACCATTGGATTTATACTGTATGAATGCAAGAAAATGAACACTTGAAACACCAGTACTTCGTCTGTTCTTAACATGAACTAGGTCTCTATTTTAATGTTTTTTGACGTTATTATGTCTATACGGAAGGGTCGTTCGGCAAAAAAGCGTAACGAAGTTGTGTAAGATCCATATCAACAATGTGTAAATATGGACTGACAACAATGGTCAGCTTTTATATGAACTCCTGCATGCATTGTTATGTTACCTAAGAAACTAATTGTTGCATCATTTGTTTACTCGGCATTGTTGTGTTACATTACTGCCGTCAACAATCCGCTTTCGTTATTGCGGAAAGAGCTGAGCTGTGAATCGCTCGTAGAAGAAGTGCGTCATAGACTAGATAATTTTATGCGGGTAAAAACGTTTTAGAATATCACAAGTACTTATCTTATATAAGAATTATTACATTACATTACATTATAGAGACGTATTTACGTCAGATTCTCCGGAACTGTGGTTCCACTGTCAACTTTTGTAAGTATTGTTAATTAAACCAAATTACCAAATTGCAAGTTCTGTTGTCGCTCACAACATTCTGGATGCAAGTTTTTAGTAGCAGGTTAGGTTTAGTTTCTGTGTTTTGTATGTGACTTTCCTGTCTTTGCTGTCAGTAAGGGCTCTTGATATGAACCAAGCATTTTCAGTATCTTTGCCATTTTGTTTCTTCATTGATATCTCTCGCTTAACTTTTGCTGTCACTTCAAACTCAAAACAGTACCACCTTGTCCAAGATTGATCAGTTACTAAACATTTTAAATTTGGCTGCTGTGAGAGCCTCACTCTCAGACATTGTCCCAGAAATACACGAGGTTATGTCCACTGATCGTGTAAGTATACCCAACTTAGCATGATGGTGCTGTCACAGTCGTAGGAAATTGATAGTGATTCTACTGGTCGTGGAAAAACACATTTTGTCTCGAGCAGTGCACCATGTGAAAAAAAAAATGATGATCTTTATCTATAAGAAAATCTTAAAACAAAAAAAAACTTACGCTGTGGGCATGGACAAGACTTCACTGAGACATTATGAGAGTCTCATGATGGTCACTTATGCTCCAGTTGGTTTTTGTATGTCATTTTTTATCTCTACCCTCTTCTAATAAAGGTGAACTACATGTGGTAAGGGATAAATTAAGTGTGAAGTTTAGACACCACTGGCTTCAGACATGTGCGGTAGGAGGGGCCACCTGTATTCAATGGCTTATGTTAACAGCTGCTCAGAGTGACGTTCTAAAACATTCAAGCACATTCCACGCTTGCCTGAAATTCTGTGTTATCAAGATGGCTGTTGCATTGTGTAGTCTTGTAGAAATTGACTGGTGTTTCAAGGGTGCTTCCCGCATCAGGCTGCCGTTAGAACCCAAAATCTCACATTTTTTGCACATTCAGATTACCTTCCATGATTTCTGGAGTAATATTCCAGATTTTCATCTGTAAAGTATCTGAAGTGCATGGATTATTTCTCTAGGTGTTGTTTTAAGTTGCCCTTAATTATTGCAAAGATTTGTAATTGGGGAGCATGATGGCCAGATCCTGTACTGATTCATCTGATACAGTCATCGTCCAAATTTTTGCAGTGTATGCTGGCGCATTGTTCAGTACCGTCCCTCACAATGGTTTGACGCAAACCCAAAGTATTCTCAGGGCTGCCTGGTCACAGCAGGTCGGTATTGTTTTGAAGAACTGAATTAAACAGTTCCACCAGCAGCGGAATTGTCGCATTGTCACGCACGACTAATTGTATGCTGAATGGATGATCGGTAAATCATGGCTGTCATGTTCCCTACATTAATGGGTTGAAATTTAAAATGTTCATCTAATAATCACAGAAGGTGAAATGGGCTTTAATGACATTTTTCCAGTTCGATCGTACAGTGGCAGTAGTGAATTTTTAATGCTAGAGGGACTGCCCATTGGCTGGAATCACTGTTTTTACAGGTGGTAGTAAGGCTACAGATGAAAGAGTGGAGTGTTCTGTTTAAGAAAAGGAGTTCAGGCAGATAACATTCACGCCATTAATGAGAATAATTCACATTCTTATGACTTTATTTTCAAGACGTGCATAGCGTTACATTACACGTGAATGCAGTGATTAGATTTGTCGCCTATTAATTTGCAGTTCTCGGATAACAAAGGACAGGCGATTGAAGATGGTGAAAGAGACGACCTATTATGATGTGTTAGGAGTGAAACCCAGTTGTACTACTGAAGAATTGAAGAAAGCCTACAGGAAGTTGGCGTTAAAATATCATCCTGACAAGAATCCTAATGAGGGAGAAAAGGTAATGTAGATGTTGTATTCAGCGTACATGCAGGGAAGACTGGTATTCTATTGAACTTTTAATGAAATAAAGCTCTTGTCATTTGCGATCAACTTGTTATTGGAGCTAGTTTTGTAGCACTAAGAAGTAGAGACATACTGAGTCTGCAGTAGGAAGAATTTTTAATGTTATGCTGGCTAGATACTTGGTAACAAAGTGTGTCTTTGCAAATGAGTTCAAGTATAACAGGGCCTTCGTCTATAGGAGAATGGGGCACTATAAGTTCTCTTATTATTTGCTTGTCCTGACAGTATCACAGACCACTGCTCCCCCGTATTTATAAGCATATTTCTTTATCCTACATGCAAAAGTTGAAGCATCAGCAATTTCAGAGTATGAAGGAGCTTCGTGTTCAGCTAGTGAATGAAAAAGTGTGACTGAAACATTGAAATGTAGTGAACAGAACAGGTTTTCTGGTAACAGTGGACCAAGTCCAGAAATAGAACTGATTGGATCAAGAAGTGTGTTTGCTGGTAGTGTCCAGGACTGTCACAGGATTGAATGGTGGCAATCACTTGTTGCAGATTTCAAGTATCTAGGATTTTCTGTTTGTGTATAATTTTGTGGTCTGTGATATTTGCTTTTGTGTATCTGGCTTTTAAATTGGTATTCACACTGACAGAGTTGATGGATTTTGCACCAAGAGATTCACATTTAGGGGGAGCAGAGCTTCCACGTTACCATTATCGTGAATCCTTTTATCACACTTTTTTTGTTTAATTTTTTTTTAAAGTTTCACGAAGGAACAGCGAACATTGGAAGCTTTGTTGAATGTTAACAGTGGCTACAGTTTTACATTAGGCCTTTGTCTTCTTATGCTTGGTGTTTTTCATCAGTGTTGACACATACTTACTACCATTGGGAAAGGATAGCTGTGCTTTCAAGCAGCGAGAATGATTAGATCTTTCCTCTGTGTAACAGTTAGCTACAGTAATAGCAGTTACATTTGTCCACACAATAAAATCGTTACTGTGTGTGCTACATGAGATTGTGATAATACCAAATATCTCCTGGTAGGTGGTCCTTCCAACAACAGGCAGCTGTGCTAACCGCAGTTATCCTGTGAGATTGTGTTGGAAGTTTCCAATTTAAGATCTGACATTTTCTGACCGAGCGTAAAATACGTCTGTACAGAAACACTCGCCTGCTGCTACCGAGTGTAGTGTTTGAGTTGGAACTTTGCGTCGCTGGTAGAGGATAGATCAATAGTTCACTAAGTTCTGTTAATGTTAAAAATTTATTTTTATTTCGTAAGTAGCATTATAGTGATGTCTCAGACAAATCAATTGAGATGCTTTGAAATTAAATTGTAAATATAAACAAATGTTAACTAAATTTAAAGTATTTTTTGATCTAATTTTCTAACTTGGACAAAAGGAACTTGTGGTGAGAGCCAAAATGGATTCATTTATAGAAGTAATTTTTCATGACTTGTATTAGGTGGTTGATAACCAGACCATACCTTGAAGCTGACTCTTGCATCGAAACATGCCTCTGTGAGATCAGAATATATAAAAATTAGTTGAGTGATAGCATATTGATCATTATTATGAAAATCCACTGCTAGATGACACAGTATCGAATGATTTACCAAGTTCATTCAGCTGTGAGTCGGTCAGTTTACTTGCATAGCCATCCTCACATAGGAGGAATTATTATTATTATTTTTTATTTATTTAGTGACGCGCATCGAATGTTTTTAGACTTGGTCTTTCGAAGTGTTAGAACTTTCTCTAACACGCAGTTTGTTAAAATGAAGTCAGCACTGTAGTGAACGCTTTTGATTCAGGCTGTAGTCTGTAATTTCATTCATTTTTTTGACCTTTAAAGACAGAATTTATTATAGAAATAATTAATAAAATTAGGAGTCTAAAAATTATTACTTAGTTTATGTTTTATTTTTGGCAATACATGGTTGAATGACATTTGCATAATTATAATCAGGGAAGTGGTCAAGATTTCATCCAGCATTGCGATTGCCAACTCAACACACAGTTGTCATGCAAATATTTATCACTAGTTTAAATTGCTTCTCTTGCCACTGATGTCAACCAACGAGCTTCACAAATGTCATTAGGTAGGCAGTGTTGCTAAAAGGGGTACCTAGGTAGTAGGCCTTCGGCACAGTATCGAGCAGTGTCAAGGCTTGCAGGTAAGTAGCTCACTCCCTGTTGCAAGAGTTTGGAGAGAGAAAAAGCTTCTGAACTAGCTATTTCTTTCAGCCGTGAAAATTTGAAGTGGCCTGATGGACTAGAGTAGGCATTCGCAGGGTCTGGAAGATTTCCAGAGTGCTGCCCTCAACCAGCTACGCGTAGAGCTTGCAATCTCAGTGCCGGATAAAATCTTGACCTCTTAATAATAAGTTGAAGACTTTTAGTTTTTTAATGACTAATTTTTATAAAAATCTTATTGAGCATTCTTAATCATTCTTGAGGATGCAACTTCATTTCTGATAAAGGTGTCATAATGTACTTCCCTTCTTCCATTGTAGAACTGAAAATGCAGTATAAAGTTGCTTATGAGTAGGAATTGGGCTTCATTAGATTTTGTTTAAAGCCAAGTTAGCGTAGTCAGTAATGTGACTGGCTGTTAGCTGAATGAGTGGGGTTCAATTTTTGGTACTGGAAGGGATTTGCTTCTCACCTCGTAGTCGAGACTGGTTGAGGGGTCGTATCCATTTGATACTTGAAGCTACTGCCCAGGGTCAAGAGGCTGTGGTGTGAAGGTGGTCACTTGCATCCCATGTAAGTGCAGAGTTCTAGATCTCTCTCTCTCCTATATCTTGTGGCATAATTTTTAAGTACAGGCACAACTATACCCTTTTTAGGTACTGAGTGAAGTTCTCGGCCTTCAGAATTCTTATATGGTTGTATTTTTCCTTTCAACAGTTCAAGCAGATTTCGCAAGCCTATGAAGTTTTATCGAATCCAGATAAACGACGCATTTATGACCAAGGAGGAGAGCAGGCCCTTAAGGAGGGTGGAATGGGAGGAAATGGTTTCTCATCCCCAATGGACATCTTTGATATGTTCTTCGGGCAAGCATTTGGTTCAGGTGGGCGTGGTTCCAGAGGTGGTGGTAGGCGAGAAAGACGTGGGAAGGACGTTATTCATCAGCTGAGCGTGTCTTTAGAAGAAGTGTACAAGGGTGCTGTGCGAAAGTTGGCCCTTCAAAAGAATGTTATCTGTGATAAATGTGAAGGTAAGATATAAAATAATCTACTTCGGTTTCTTACAGTGTGGGATTGGTGGTACGTAATTAATTTGTAACGTGCTTGCTTGTGGGAGTTCTCAGAAGGCTAGACTCTTAAAGTTTACCATGAGCAGAAACTATGGTAATTTCAGAAAATGTGTATTAATGTTGTGGGAAATGTAAATTTTAAAACTAAAAAGTAACATGGGAACAGTGATATTTCCCAATCTATTTTTAACGCTAACAGACTAAAGTAATTTTTGAGTGAGATCTTGGAAATTGAACTCTGCATTCTCTGATTATTTTTGAAAGGGAAAAACATTTTGAATAAAAATCAGTAAGTAAGGAGTAGCAACATTTTTCCTTTAGCCTTGAGTCACTCTGAATATCAGTAAATTCCATTTGTAGGTCTGTTGACGTGACATCAGTTTCCATTGGGAACGTAAAAACGTTTTATTAGTGTTTCTCCTGATTTGAAGTCAGAAAATCTGTCATTAAATTCTGCAGTTATTGTCCTGATGCGGTTTTTATATTTCACGCAATTACACACCCCAGTTCAATTTGTCTCAGCTAAGGCTGGAAAGTGAGCTTTCAATTGGTGCTCCTCCCACAAGACAAGTTTTATCTGTAAGTCATTAAAGGGAATGTGAAGTACCACCTGCAGCAATGAACGCTAACTCAGTCTGCCTGAACGTGAGCCATCTCACACTACATAATCTTTCTTGAATTTTGTTTTCACTAGCTATATATTTTTTTTTTTCAAGCTGTGTTATACACATTCTTGATTGTTTCATTTTCCAGTCCAAAAACAACTGCATGCTGTAGACAAGTAAATACAGTAATAATGTAGTGTGCATTTATTCTCAGATTTAATGATTTAATGAAAACTCGTACCTACACGTTGAACTTAAGTTAACCCTCTGAGTTCGTGTGACTGCTACAGGTCGGGGTGGTAAGAAGGGTGCAGTTGAGCCTTGCCCATCATGCAGAGGAACTGGGATGCAAGTTCAGATACAACAGCTTGGTCCAGGCATGATCCAGCAGATTCAGTCCATGTGTGGAGAATGTCGTGGGCAGGGAGAGAGGATCAACCCTAAGGATCGCTGCAAGACGTGTCAGGGAAGGAAGGTACGTCTTCTCAATATGCAGGTTTTCTTAAATGCTTTCAGTGTATGTTGGATTAATAAGGTTGAAGCCTTTTCGTATTATTATCGATGCACGCGTGAGGTACGGCAACTGCTCTAGGTCTGTACGATAGAACTCGGGGCCTTCCCAAAGTTACGCAAGACTCGTCTTATAGACACGACTTTGATATGATGAATGCCTCGAATGACATCCAGTTATGACAGTCTGTCAACAGTTACATAATGGATACTGTTAACTAAGCGACTGTAATGGGTAAACTCCGTTTCTTTAGATTATGGTAGTGTGTGCTGCCACCACTGACCCTGTGGCCAGACGAGTGCCCTCATCTAAGTTACAGATTTAGCCTTATAAGGATGAATAATAATTATATGTACCACCAACTTTAATGTTCAGTAAATTTTGCAGAGTGTATTAATTTCTTTCATATTATTTTCACAATAAACTTAAATTGTTTCCTTAACCTCTTAATACAGTAAAAGCTGATCTTATATGTCATCTGTTGAAGAAATTATCAGCTCTTATGAGCTGCTGTTTTCACGAGGATAAAGGGGAGACACAAACTTGTGATGACCTCATATAGGGCATGTGTAATTCAGACATCCGCTGATGTCATACAGGAGGAACAAGGCCAGTTTGTGAAATTGGATGGTCCAGCCTTGAGTTATGATCGTACACGCAAAAACCGCATCCAGTATGTAGACACATTATTAGATCAGGAAAGTCGGAGAAATGTTGGGGGGGAGGGTAAGTATTTATGATCTGGATTATTCAGAAACATTTGCCTGTTCAAACCTATGAAAGTAAGAGTGATGATGCTAGAAGTGAGAGTGGCGATGAGTGGGAAGTAGAGCATTTATCATCATCAAACTTTTTGTGGATAGACACAAATTCCCTTACAAAGTAAAAGTGAAGAGTTTTTTAATATGCATGGGCCACAAATTTTCAAAACATTTTTGACGGTCAACTTGTGGAACTGATTGTGATGTAGACAGATCTGTACGTACGTGGTACGAATTTAGGGTCGCTGTCTAGTGTCGGAAAATGGGAACACGTGGCCGTGGTCGTTGCACTTTTCATGTTGATGGTAATAAAAAATCCACAGTCTGATAATATTTTGACAAAAACCGGCCTCTCGAGACTCCATTTTTCCCCCGGAAACAATCATAACTTACCCTTGTCCATTAAACCAAAATATAAGGAGAAAAACGCTCGTCTTGTAGGATGTGGGGGCAAGGGACGGAAGCCAAACGTAATGTGCAAAGATGGACTTGTAATTCGTTTACAGACTATTCGAGATCGTAAGATCCTGGAGGTACATGTGGACAAAGGTATGGTGGATGGACAGAAGATTACTTTTGGTGGGGAAGGAGACCAAGAACCAGGTCTTGAGCCAGGAGACATAATCATCGTCTTGGATGAGAAAGAACACGACTTGTACAAGTGAGTATGTTGCATTGTAATAATATAATAAAGAGGAAGCTAAATGTAAATGACTTCAGTTTTTTAGGAGTAAATGCTCACTGCTTATTCCCTTGTCACATGCTCAGAGGTCTCTTGTCTGTTGTCAAGTGAGTATGTTGCATTGTAATAATACTCTTTTTATTTGTCACATGCCCAGAGGTCTCTTGTCTGTTGGCACCTCTCTGCCATGTTGTGGTTTGTATTTGGTGCTCCATTTATGTTTTGGCTGTGAAACAGATTGCTTTTCCACTGATCCGTTCAATGACAACGTACGGAGTTGCCAGTCTTCTGGTGAAGAGAGTCTACCAACAGCAACTTGAAGTAGCAGTGCATTTTATTGATGAATATCTTGTAGTAGCTTGAGGGGTGTCCAGTGTGATGCTGTTTTCTGATATTCATGAGTGAGGACCTTGGAAATTGATTTATGGCACGGTATTGGCCTCCAGGTGCTTGTTTGTAGATTTATGTGAAGTTTTAAAGGAGAAATTGCTTACTTCGAGTGCAGTTGATTTTTACATTATTTTGATATAAGTTGTGAAAAAGGTGTTTGATTGAAATTAGTGCATCGTCTCTGTTAGCTTCTGCCTCCCCTGACTTCTGAATACAGAAAATCTGTATGATGTTTAATATCTTTATTTTCAGACGATCCGGTAATGATCTCATTATGCGTTTGAACATTGAATTGGTCGAGGCACTCTGTGGTTTCCAGAGAGTAATAAAGACCCTCGATGATAGGGATCTTGTCATCACAGCCATTCCTGGTGAGTTATGCTTTTCAAAGAATTGCCTTCGATGTGTGAGGCGGCATTACGTCATCAAGAACAGTTATTTACATGGACTTTGGTTCCAGTGGTGCCACTGCTATGCATGTTCTGTTTGTTTTCCACACAGCATTGTAATATAATTGCATTCTATCCATAATGAGGTAACACCCTATTATGACCAGTCTGTTTTCGTGAACATTTTATGCATGGTCAGTTTTCCAGACTTGTAGAATTATATGTGGCACTACCGTTATTGAGTCAGCTAGAACACATTTCTGTTGCCAGTGGTCGCTGTTAAATGTAAAGTACCCATTTAATTGCGACAGCCACATGGGAATAATTGGGGTAAAGAGTCAATTTGTGTACAGAGAATTGGAATGTTCATCCACTTTAGCAGTGACCAGACAAGTAAAAGTGAAGGCGGTAGTGCTGCAGTTTGCCTTGTTTTGCGCTAGTCGCAACTAGGCCGATTATTAACCGATATTTACCCGAAGAGAGCAACGGGTAAAATTGTGCTTTTTGTAAATTTTAGTCTTTACATTTTTTAAACAAATGATTCTGAATAGCGCGGTGGCAAGCGTTCCTTGAATTTAGTCTACTCTTAGTTTCCTCGTGAATGTGATTTTGATTTGTTGGCGTCATTCCGACCCAAATATTTGAGCTTGTTCAAAATAACTATTAGCTGCCTTTTGTTCTGTAGTCTTTTTATGGGACATGAACTGTGTTTAGGTCTAGACCACCTTCATTACAAACGTGTAGTAGAAATTCTGTTATTCTTTATGATATTTGAGTCGTGGAAACATCGCACGCGTTTAAAGGTTGTGTCGCTGGTTTTAAACGGTAATGGATACCGTGTTATAGAAGTGGCACAGGTGGAAGGTAATTTACAAATAAGCTGTTCTGCGGTTGAGTCATGCATTTAGTAAGAGCTTTTATAACTTTGTACATATGAAGGTGGCTCTTCTGGGGCGTAGTACCGTGACTGATATTTCAGAGGAGCTTACTGCATTTAGCTGCTCTGAAATGTTTGTCAGTATCTACCGCACTACACGTTGCTGTATCGGGAAGGACAGTCGTTCACATGGACCTTGGGGTGGAAACCTCACACCTCGGATCTCAAGTTTATAACTTCTGAATAAAGCCAGTAAGTTGGAAGTAAGGGTCATCTTTAATCTGTTGAACTTTGACTGTATTTGAATGCCACGGGATTGCATGTAGGATGTTTAAGTCGCAACAGGCATTGTTAAAGAAATATAATTTTTGTGAGTTGTTTCATATGTAAAACATTTGTTCGTACCTGACACCAGATGTGATCATTATCAGAAATGGTAGTAATGAAGTTATTCAGTTGAGTAGTTCTGCCATTGTCTTCTAGAAACTGAGCTAATTTGAGCTTCTGATTCAGTATATTCTACTGAGAGGTTAAAGAAATGAGTGGCAAGACAACATTTGATCTGATTTGTCAATCTAACTTTTATATTTATGGTAGTCCATCACGGAAGCTGGCTTTGTCTTTCCGCGGACTCAAGTGACAACTGGAACTTTAATGGAACACATGCATATGAATGCACAGACAGCAGATCAACGTGGCAGGCTTGTCTATAAACATCTTTGTATTGCCATGTTAGAAGTATCTGAGGTAACTTCCAGTAACTTTGAAGCTTTTGTCCATCTAGAAGTTGAGTGCCATGCTGCAAGGATCCATTTACACGCTCGGGAACAATGCGTGCTCCATTCTACTGCTAGGTCTCAGTGCGTACTTCATGGTTGTCATCCACTGGTTTTAAAGCTGCTGGAAGGGCAACCTTGAATGCCCAATCAATGACATGAAGATTGCAAAAGCTGTATTATCCCACCAGGATTATGTGAAGATTGGAATCCTCACTAATTTTTGCTTTTCCCGTTTGTCATTTGAGTGTGAACGGTGTCTAAAACCGACATGGCACGCTTGTGCCATTCTTCTTCCTCCATCTCCCATGGCTCTACAGCCCAGCGTGGGTCTTTGCCACCTGCTCTCAAGAGTTTTCTTGGTCTTTGAAGTGTGCATTTATGAGTAGTGAGTGACCAGTCCACGGCCTCTGCACATTTTCTACTCAATCCTAATTTGTCTACTAGAGCCATCTAGTAATGAATCAGGAGAGACTTGGTGAGAAATGGCCACTGAATTTTGCTCACGAAACATCTCGTTCACGCTCGTAAGGTTCTGTTACGTGCCATAAATCTACGACGTGGGACGCCGACTTTACTTCCCCTCCGAAGGAAGTTGTGCTATGGATTTTTATCACCTTCCATCGACCTCAGCTGGGTTTGAACCCATGAACCTTGGGTCCAGTGGCAAGCACGTGACGTTTTGTGCCATTCCCAAACACTATTCTATTCATCAAATTTATGACCTACAGGTCTTTTTTCATGTTTCTCTGCATGTTGATATTTATTACTGTAACACAGAAACAGACAAACTGAGTGTCTGTGATTTCATATTGTGAATTTTGCATTTTCTTTTGCTCTCAGAAGCCACCAGCAGTTACAATTGAAATGGCTGTCTTCTGGGTTGTTGCACTGTGCAGTCTGGTAGAAGTTAACCATTATTTCAGGGGTCATTGGTAAACTTCTACCAGACAACCCAGAAGACAGCCATCTTTGTACTTATCAACGTT